GCATGCATACATGTTTGTGCATGTGTATATATGCACGTATGTTCGCACGTACACAAGCAGTGCGGGCGCAGTTTTTCAACTGGTGCACTGACACAAGACTCCTGGTTTTAGGAGTCCCTACTAGAAACGCGTTTGAGTCTGCGCGGAATTATTGCAGCGGGGGTTGGATATTGAGAAGACTGTACAAGGCTGACCCGTTGGACTTCAGAGGATAAGCTTTGCAGGTGTTGGGAACTTGCTTCCCCAACCCTGCAGAAGCCATCAGGAAATCTTTCCCTGCTGCATCACCGCGATGCAATTGCTGTGAAATTTCACAATGAATTGCGTGGCTCCAGCGTAGGCATATCATTGGAAGCTGAAGGCATTGAACGCCCGTTCACAAGCAACTGAGAACTAAACTAAACCATACGCTCCTGCATGGATAGTAACGCCTCGAAGTGCTGTAGTCTCCACTGCAAGCATCCTTTATCCCTGATACTGATGGCAAGGAGGAGGAGGAGGAAGCTGATCATGATGACAGTGCGGTGGGATTTATGATGGTTTCGATGCTCAGAACGAATGAACTGATGTTTTTGCTGCAATTGGCGGCATGGTGCTTCTGCTCGTGATGATGCTGATGCTGATGATGGTGATGATGATGATGTTTGACATGATGATGGTGATGATGACGATGAAGATGAGGATGATAATGAGGATGATGATGATAATAATGACGTTTGACATGATGATGGGGATGATGACGATGAAGATGAGGATGATATGATGATGATGACCATCATCATCATGAATAAGAGAAAACCGGGGAGAAAGATTCGGATGACGTCTTTGTTGACGAGAACAACTATGATTGTCTGCACTGTGCTCGTGATGCTGATGATGAGGATACTAAGGATGAGGATGAGGACGAAGAGGGCCAGGGGATAAGGTCGAGGATGAGGATGTTGATGTTTGCCGATGCCGATCAATGTGATGAGGCCGGAAGAAGACGACGATGATGCTGCTGCTGCTGCTGGTGGCGGTGGCGGCATTTGGCTGTTGTCTTGGTCGGCCGTGGTAGTGGTGGCTGGTGTTCTGGCGGGCTGGTGCTGGTTGTTCGGTTGCTATTGTGCTGATGAGACTCTCGCAGAAGGCAGGAACACTGGCCCCTCAACAAATGAAAGCCCGAAGCTTCCCAGGTCTGCCTAAATCGTGCAGAGCCGTCGGGGGCTTCATCCGGAGCAACAGCACTTATAGGCACAATTGAATCTGTTTTCAAGGTTACAGCACCTGCCGGTTAAGATTTCGAGGAGCGACACGCCTGGCGCTCAACAGATCTGCACTTGGGAG